TGCTTCTTCTGCATAATTTGCATATATTAAGTTATATATCTTAATGCCATACAAATTTGTAGCTTCAGCATTATATCTATACAGTAAAGTCTAATTTGTCAATAAACTAGTTTACATGTTGCTTTAGAGTTAAGAGTGGCTAAAACATTTTTTAAAAATTTCCTTTGAGAATGGCAACCTAATTCCACATATAGGATTAGAGAGCCAATTATTAAAACTTTTTCTATAAAATAAGTGAATTACAAAAGCTTGAGTTGTTTTGCCATTAGGAAGTGCTGATTGTCATGCGATATGGAGCGTCATTTTTATTTTGGCAAGAACAGGGACAGTTTTGTCTTGACAAGCCATTAGACGAATACCAGAGTGTGTCACATGAAAAACCACTGATCTTTAACCCAGCTCTGTACTTAACCAAGCTTTGAAAATGAATAGTGAATAAAAGAAGAGCAAAGGCCAGTTTACTGTCATTACAGATTACAGAATCTGTTAACAGCTGCTGAACTGAACCCAGGGAATTACAGGTATTGTTCTCTGAACCAGCAGAAGTCCTAGAGATGCTTGTTAAACTGTGTATATAAATTATACATTTATTTTATATTTGCTTAGGATTTACATTGCTGGGAACATAGCTAGAAAACCATGAAATTCCTTGATTAGTTTCTCAGTGTACAAAATGCATGCCTTTATCACCAAACCTTATATTTGTATATAGCTATCTCAATGAGGTTCCCCTATCCCCAGTTAGGGAATTTATTTTTAAAAAGCAGTGTGGTTTTAAAGAAATTATTAATAAGTTTTAGGAAGAAAACAAGATGTATAGAATATCTCCCCCTCTCAAAACAAAAATAAAACAACAAACATACACGCAGAACATAATCCTTTGCTCATTTGTTCCTTTAGGACAGGTATTCATTGGGGCTGACATTTAAACCAACATGTGACTTTTTTTTTTTTTTTTTTTTTTTTTTTTTAGTGGAGGGGAAAATCTAAACCCACCTCAATACCCAAATAATGAAAAGATCAGTAACATTTTAAACAGTCAGTTGTGGGAATTCTTGCTTACAGAGCTAACAAGAAAGAACACTCTCTCTTACTCTGCTGGTGGAATTGCATTGTGCCTCCCTATAGTCTTGTTATCCCACACAAACTGAAATGCAAATTCTTTGCAACTAATTGGATCTCATTGAGGGTACATACACAGTATGTAGTTATATGCAGAAAGATTTTTAAAAAAAATTTCTCTGTAATTACAACTTTTAATTATTATCCCAAACATCGGCATGTGTAGTATAGGTTTAGAACACATATGTCTAACTTTCTTTTACAGATTACTCAACGTGTGCTACGAAATGCTTAGTAAGGTATCAGCTCAAAAAGTTAGGGGAAAATGTTTATATTTACAGCAATCTATAAATTGGATTTTATTGAAGTTCTGTGAAAATACATTTTAAATGTAAACATCAGAAGTCACTTTCAAAATGTTTTTTCTCCTTCGGTTCTTCAGTATTTTAACATTGTATACTGCAGGTGAGGTTTCTTTGTGTAAGTGTATTTCTGCTATGTGTTTTGATGAGGTGGGGGTATTTACAGTCCCACATTGTCTTTAATAACGTGGCTGCCATTTAGACCTAGTTGGTGTCCTTTTTTTTTAAGGACGGGGGAGTCCCCATTCCCACTCACCAACTGAGATCAGAGAACTGTCCTGGTACTGTTAGACTTGGTCAAGTTAGGAGGAAAAATTAAGATAAACCCATTCAAAGATATCCTGCAGGTTGAAGGTCCTGATGATACAGGGAAGAAGGAAAAAGGGAGAAGACAGAGGAAAGGATGGGAGCCTCCTTTAATTACCACAATTATATAACTCAAAGTATGTGAATTATCTTTAGTAAGGAATCTGCATGTCTGACTTTCAAAGGTCGTTGGTATACTTCGTAATTTCCATGGTACATCTCTATCAGTAAATGTGGGAAAGTCAACACATAGCCATTAGCATTTGCAGTTCTTTAACCTGAAATACATAAAATCAGGGCAGCAAAAAAGCAATTGCTATGGAAGTGATACCTGTTTCTACTGCCCTCCTCCCCACTTTTAAATAACTTCAATTCAAGTTATTCCTTATAATTGTTTCATAATCTTCAGACTAGAGAGCCAATGGACAAACTCAAAAATCATTTTTACGCCTTGTAGGTATATTTTTTTGTTGTCTCCTACTGTAATAAAGCTTGCTGTTTTTGTAAACTAGTTTTACAAAGTAGTTAAATTTTTCTTTGATCAAATTCATTTAGCAGGTGCAGTACTGTATGATACAGATTTGTTGTGAAAAAATATATTAAACATTAGAAAGATATCCGAAGCTTGTGCCTTGACAGAAATGTGCAGGTACTAGTTACTTTGCAGACCTGTTTCATCTAGAGCAACCTCAGACATTGATATCTGAAATAGCTCAGTTTGCCTACGCTAGATAGCATTTTGTCAGAAGACTGCTGGCTGAGCAGACTAGATTTGGATGTATTAGCTAGTCAGCCTAATAACCCTGTACAGACTGTATTGATTTTTTAGGAGAGAGTTTATGAACTAAATAAACTTGGGGTTGGTGTCTTAATAAACTGCTTCTCTCAGTCTGTCACATTTAGTTACGGAGCTGTGCAGTTTAGGGGGAAAAAAGGCTAATTCTGTTACAGATTGTTCACAGCAGGGTCTCCAAATTAGCCCTTTGTTTTGTAATGCCACCTTGCTTGGGCTCGCTTTGAGCACATTTCTCAGTTTTGCCCTAATGAGTTGCAACACTGATAATGTGGCTGATGATCTTTCATTGATTTCACTATCACTTGCTTGTCTGGTAATTGATCCGTTGCTGAGCCTCTAGTTAATTATATCGGCTTTGACATGGCCCGGTCCATGGGGAATTTCAAGTCTTGCAGAATAACAGTTTTAATAAAAGAGTCTATTACTGCAGGTGCTTGCTGCTGCATGCCAGTTGATTTCTGTGTTGTGTGTGTGTGTGTGTGTGTGTGTGTGTGTACACGAGAGAGTGAGAGGGAGATGGTTGGGGGAGGATAGCAGGGAAAGAAGAGGACTACTGGACTGAAAGAAAGAAGGGGAGGGGGCTGGAAGAAGAGGAAGAGGGAGTGAAGGGGAGAGAAGAGAAGGAGGGGGTAACTAGAGAGAGCAAGAGGCAGGCGAGAAAGAACACGCAGGCAAAGCGATACAGCAGAGCCTGAGAAGAGCGAGGAGGAAGCATGCTATTGACAGTGTCCTTAAGCCTCCCACAAATAACAGCCATTAGTGGGAAGGTCAGGAGCTGAGCAGGCAGCTTGACTGAGGCACTGAGTGCCACTTCAGAAATCAAGAGGCTAGCAAATTTTAGAGGGAGTTTAAGTGGGTAATAGCTAGCTGTAAAGGTACAGTCACTGTTGACAATTGACTCATAGGGTCTTTTCCTGCCCTCCCCCCTCAAGAATATTTTTATTGACCACAGGTGGACTTAATATATTTTAAGGCAACAATTCTTTGGGTTCTTGTTTGCTTCTTCTCAGATATTGAATTTGCTGCTTTTGAGACTTTTTTGTGCTTAATGGTGGTGAACCGGAGGGAAGTTTAACAGAAAAGCTTTCAGGAGATGTCGGTTCTAGAGGGGAAGGCACATTTGTGTCAACATAGTGTACGTTTTCTCATCTTTTCTCATTGTCCACTAATGACACAGAGCTGCCATTGAAGCTCTTTTCTGTTTCTTTTGTTGTTTCAGAGAGTAAGGTTTATTGTTATTCTTCAGTTAAGAAGGAGCAAGGAGAGTGGTACATTTGTCCTCGATATTTGTAGGTGGTTGAAGATTAATGTTCCCTACATTTTAAGTTTAGGAAGGATGGCTTTTTCCTGCTGACTACTTTTATGAGATGGCATGAATTTAGCTTTTCCATTTTGAAGTTACTGTTTACGTACAGTGCATTTTGTTCATTTCTGCTTTTCCATAAATAAGGTAGATAAATACTATCTAATAAATAGATGTTTTCTTTTAAAAACTGGTTTAATTAAAAATATGACATGCTATTGAGGTTATATTTCATCAGGCAGGAAAGCGTTATAGAATTTTCCATAGAGATCTTGAATGAAAAATTGGGTTTTTATATTCATTACTTTTTGCCTGGAATGGGACAGGCTTTTTTTCTTCATCTTTTTCTTTTTTATGATTTGAGAGGATATTGTAGATGCTTCATCCAGGAACTTTCACAAAGGACTTTTCTCTACTTTTGAGCTTTAAGAAAAGGTATACTTTTTCCCTTTGTCATTCAATTTCTTATTATTTAACATCCAATTTAGTAATTAATGAATGGCCTGAGGAACTGGATATTAAGGTATTATACATGTATGTATTTTGCAAATGTTTACTGTGCATCTTCATGTTAAAAAACTGCTAGGTTCATGTATTTACTTCTTAAAGAGTGTAAAGTTATGTCCCTATGTATATTATTTTCTCTAGGAGTTTATATGTGGTTATAAATACCCTAGCACATACTATGTGACTTTTGGGAGTTAACATTTAGACAAGAACTGATCCAACTTTACATTCTCTTACATCTGAATATTTTTCTTTCTCCCAGTATACTAACTAGAAAATAATGTTTAAGCATAGCAATTTACAAATGTTAAAGCAAAGACTGATGTCAGATACTGCATGTTATACCTGAAAGCATTGTTGGGGAAAATTCCCTGGGAAGGGTCGCAGCTTCTCCTCACCCCATGTACCGCCCATCAGTGACTGCGGTGCTGCTTGGAGAGTGCAGAAGTGTGTATCTATCTGTGTGTCTGGAGAGGGGTTAGTGCAGGGTGTCATTTGGTGCCTGACAGTGGAACAGTGCAGTTGACTCTTAGCTCTGCTATCCAATGACATGCAGTGGCTGCGAATTTGAAGCTGATGGTTGGGTCTCCAGTGCTGCCTGCACACCTGACAGGCAGCTGTTAAACTGAGCAAAGGCAAGCTCGGGGAGTCACAATCTATGCATAAATGATAGGGGTATCTGTGCAGAAGGTGCGAAAGAAGCTCTGACCCCCTCCCTCCCCCAAATCTCCCCCTTCCCAAATGAAATGCACAGTTCAGCCAGCTTCTTAACTACACTACACTTTTGCTACTGGCTGCCAAGAGGCTCAAAAAATCCACCTTCACTTTTCAGTCAGAAGAGGCAGAAGTGGATGTGAGAGAAAGAGAGACACAGAGAGACAGAGAGCCAAAGAGGGCAAGAGACTTGACTTTAAGAGACTCCTGTACTGACAACTCCATGCAGTTCGGAACCAGAACGACTGCGGCTGAACCAGGGTTCATGGGGACATGGCAAAACGCTGATACTAACCTTTTATTCAGAATGTCCCAACAGGTAAGTTACTTTCATTTTTTTTTTTTTTTAAGAAATCTTGAATTGTTATATGCACTTTTGTTTCTGCTGTTTTTCTTTCTTAACATTTAAAAATAATTGATCACTTCATAGTTGGGCTCTGTTTTGTCATAACTGTGTTGCTGGAATGTGCAGGGTTAGTTCATGGTTTCCCTAAGGGCTCCTTAAAAGAAAAAGGGGAAAGGATATTGAAGTAAAAGAAAGCAAAGGCGTTTGTTGCAAAGTTTCACAGTACAACCTAGGTCATGAGAAGACAATTTATTTCTTTGTTTTCAGTTTAAAAAATATTTTTAAAGCCACCACCCAACAAATGTGTCTCTCTATATTAATCACTTCATCAAAGTGTCTGCTATCTCAGAGGAGGTTCTCCCAGTGATAAAAATGTAGGGGTCCCTCCGTGCAGCCCAACTGACTTGTTGGGGCTGGAAGCTGCTCGGACTCGGACCTGAGGACAGGAGGCTGTGCAGCAATTGCTGCCAGCGCCCGGGGTCGCCTGAGGAGCTCTGCCTGCCGGCCCCAGCTCCTCCGCCCGCCGCCCACTGCCCACCCGCCCGCCTCCGCTTGCCCCTGCGCTCCCCGCCGGCTCCGCTCCGGCTCCGCACGCCCGCCCGCCCGCCCGCCGGCGCACTCACTCTCGGGAGCAGCCTCGGAGTCCTCCCCAGAGCCGCTCCTCGGTCCGAGAGCCGCGCTGGCGGCGGTTGGGTGTGCTGGCTCTGCCGGGAAAGCCTAGGTGTTAGTGTGAGGCCAGCGGCTACTGATAATTAATCACCGGAGCCGGTGGCTTGTACCGTGCGCTCGGTGATACCCGCCCTGCGCGCTCGGCTCCTCTTGCACAATTGCTGGCTCTGTGGCGCCGAGGGGGAGCGAGGGTGAGAGGAAGCAAAGGGAAACAACCCAGAAACTTTCATCTTGGACTGTGCTCAAGCGAGGGAGGGAAGTTCCCTGGTGCCTCCCTCCTAGACACGTCTTGCTTTTCAAAAGCCTACACCAAACCCTTTACACAAAGCAAGAGTTAGTATGATATTATCATCCACACAGCACGAAACTATTACTGACATATGCTTGGATTTTAAGCAGATGACGGTTGAAGAAAATTGTTATTGTTCCATTCATTTAAAATACTACAACTGTTTTCTTAAAAATAGCAACAACAACCTATTTTGTTTGTAACAGTTCATGGGAATTACTTTATTGATTTACTTTTTATTTTTAAAGGTATTCATAATGAGGGAAAGTAAACAATTTGCTAGGCTATAAACTACCACAAGTTTAGAAATACATCTGCAGAAGACTGCACAGAGCCCCGGTTTTGTACTAGTTAGTTAGCAAACAGTTTTATCACAGGATTCTAGATGGGATAAATATATTTGAATAAGGTGTATTTTGACATATCCTGTAGAGGGACCCTGATTACTGCTGATACAGTAAGCTGGGGTTTAAATGCAATCAACATAAACCTAATAAGCAACTCTATGTGCAACTTCCCATTCTTGCAAGTTAAGTTCATTTCCTCCCAGAGATACTCCTTGTCATTGCAGTGTGCTTGGAGAGATGTTTTTCTGAGGCATATCCCTGCCTGCGTGGCTCTGTTCGTGGTTGGAACACCGATTGTTTTCACTGACCTTAGGACTAAATAACTGTGCCACACTTTGAAAATTAGATGTTACCTTAAAGGTTTTGCTTGAGTTAGTGGAGGTCAGGGGTGTGTGTGTGTGTGTGTGTGTGTGTGTGTGTTTTGGAAAGGAAGATTGGTTTAGGTCTCCCTCTAGCTAGAAAAGAGTTAATAAAACCAGATAGAGATAATGATCAATTGATAAATGGCTATTGAACCACATAGATGGTGTTAGATTGCTTCTTTGGCACTAGCCCATTTTCAAGTAGATTTGAATCTAAGGAAACATTAAGTTGTGGAAAACGTTTTAGCTAAAACACACACACACACACACACACACACACACAACAAATAAAAGTAAATTATATAAATGATGAATCTGAATCAGGAAAATAATTTGAAATCGTTCAGAGAAACTTGTACAACTAAGCTATTATGATGTCTTTGATCCACCTATTTGACTCTGGGTATATATAGGTCTATTTTGTGTGTATCTGTGTGTATGTATGTGTCAGTGTGATCTTCAGTGACTATATAAACAGAGTAGAAATATAGAGAAGTAATTTATGCATAATGATGGTACATAAAACTATAATATTTATTATACTATTTACTAAACAGTAGTACAATAAAGGGAGAAATTCACAGTTTAAAACAAGTGTTGTGATTTAAGTGTATTTTATGTTTATTTTTTGGTTTTGATGTAGTTAGTGACTCCCCCCTCTTTTTCTGTCATGGTTACTAAATGTATACCTCCTGTGCGTTTTTGGAAAGCATGTAAGAGAGGGTATGAGTTTGCATGTGTTTTTTCTTCTTCTTCAGGATGATATTTTAGTTTGTATAAATATTGTGTAAACTTAAATTCAGACTGTGGAAACCTAAAAATCTATGTGCTTTATATGTTTAATATATTTATTTTCCTTACCTATAGTTCATTAGCAGTGCTGATTCAGAGTGTGTATGTATGTATGTGTGTGCATGTGCAAGAAAGACACTTTTCTTAAAATGATATCTCTGGAAGCCAATAGTTTCAAAGAATACTAGTTTCAATATAAATATTAAGCTAGCTTTTGTCTTATTGCAGGTAAAAGTTTGTCCAGGTTAATCAAGTGTGCAGATTTCTGTGTATCTCATTTCTAAGGCATTAAAAAGATTTTTCTATTATGATTATTTTAATCTCTAGGAGAAAAAACTGATTTAGCTCGTGAAATAAAATTTATTTGGTATTTTTTACTTCAAAGTTTTCTGTAATAACGTAAAAACTACAGACTTACCTGATCATTTCATTAAATGTTAGAAAAGATTGACTAGTAGTTTTCAAACCTGAATTATAGAGAATTCACCATTGGTATTATTTAACTACAGCACAGCTTGTAGTGGAAAATGTCTCATGAAAACTGAAATATCATAATCTAGGTTTATGTCTTTTATAGGTAGACTAGGAAGTAGAGATATAAAAATCTTTGTGTTTTGTTTTGTATTGAATGAAGTTGAATTTGCTTATACGTAAATCTTTCAGTCTGTCTAACACTGACAAAACGAACACAATTTGAAGCCAATTTAGATTTGGTGGAATTAAGTATATTCTCCTAAAGTTTGAGGTATAACAATTTGAGTGAATTTTTCTGCCTCTCTTTATTTTTCTCCCATATTCAATGATGATTTTTTTCAAAAGGGATCATTTTTTTTTTCCATACAGACAAATATTTGATAACCTTAAAGGGCATGACTCTTGACTTCTGTGAAGGGAGTTCTCACTTGGGTTACTTTGATCAGTGACAGGCCGAGAATGACCAGAAACCCTTTACTCATCTTCTCTGTTAATCTTATAGAGTCCAGAACATTATTTTGCCCATTTTAACCTCATGAAATTTTTGTTAAAAGCAGAAAATAAGGCCTGCTTTTGAAAGTTTTTTTTTTTTTTTTTTCTAATCAGGTTTTAAAAGGTGAGTTTTCTAAAATGTTTTGTGTATGTGAGAGGCTAGCATATAAAATTCTTTGTGAGTTCCTCAAGGGATGCAATAGTCTAATATATTTTGAAATCTTTTCAGAAATGAAACCATAACAGGTAAATAGCTATAGTTCACATTTTACACATTTACATTACTAGAGGCATTTTCCTTTAATTATTGGTGATGTATATTTTACCTTCTCAAATAAAATGTAGATTCCTTAATAAGGTCTCTTTTCAGACATGAGTGAAATACTAAGTTAGAATTATAAATGACTCTGTGCATCATTATGTAGTAATTTAGGATTCACCCAATGATGTAACACAATTAACAACATAATTTCATTGTGAAACTGTGTCTTATTAAAGAATACTGTCTGACATTCTCTTACAGTTGCTTTATTTAACTTCATGCTAATATTATTAATAGTGACATTTTTTCTATTGTGCATTAGAGTCTCTCATTAGCATGATGTGTTAGTTATCACTAGAGAAATAATTTCCTAGATAGGTGAGGGGCAAACCAAGAAAGCTAAAAATTAAATCAATGATTTACATTAATACCAGAGCATATGCTCACCAGAGATATGACGGAGTAAAGCAAACTTTTCTTACTAATATAAAATCTAGCACATTTCAGAGGAATGATAAATAAAATATATTATAAGAAATATATAACAACATTGCTGGAATCCATTTAAAAGCATGTTCGATATGAAATTTTCTCCCAGTAGCCTCTTAGTTCTTTCTATTCATATAGGCAAGCAGAGTTTCATTTTGTTTAATCTATACTTTAAATTGGAAATGGTAGTTTTGTGTGACTTCTTCCCCCTTCCCCCTAAATAATTTGAATTTGAATGTTTATTCACTAACAGCTTAAAATGCACATATACCATTTTTCTTAGAAGTCATGCCTAATTGCATATTGTGGTTTGATTCGTTTTTGTAGTTCATACAGTACATTTTTATTCTAAACTCTGCCCCACTCATGTAGACATCTCTTTTAACATAAGATGTATATTCTTGTTTAATCAGAGCCCCAAGTAAAGCAGCTGATAGTTAATGGTCTTTGAAAATGACTTTCATGGCCAGGCGTCATTCATCCCTAGGTTTCTGCACTTTTTCCTCCTCCCTTCCTACTCCTCTTCTTACAGTTGGTGTGTGTGAGTGATCATGTCTTATTAAAAAAAAGGATTAAATTGACCAAACTTATGGTCATGAGGCTAAAATAAATATTTATATTATATTAGGAGGCATGTAAGTTCAGCCTGTTGAATTACTAGGCTGCTATCTCCTATTTAGTTCCCCTCTCTGATTTGAGTGGTAATGGGTTTTATTTGAAGTTTTAACTCTAGACATATATTCAAATGTAATTCTTAACATACACTCTGATAATGTAATACGAAAATAGGAATATTT